AAAAAAATGTAGTGTTAAACATTGAATTTGCCGCCCATTAAAGTTTTATTTTCACAACATCGGAAATGGAACGTACACAGGATCCGCAATTATCTTCTTTCATTTGAATCATCTGAAAAAATAAACAAAACGAGCATACAAATATTGAAAAGTGCAGGTGCTTAACCTCAGAGTAGCTATTAGTTTTAAAAGTGTATCGATTTAGAATAGGATAGGGATTAATTAAAGTTCTGCCACTTAATTTTAAAAGATAAAACAATGTGTTTAAAACTCCCCAAACTAGTGCCGTAGCGTATAGAATGATACATTTTCAAGTTAAAATTAGAAATTTAAGGCTAATGATATAAAAACAAAGTAAGTGGCAGTATTTTTCTTCGATTATAGTTCATTGTCTTTGCATCTGTTGTGCATTTGTTTACAGAAAGTGCTCTCTTGCACTTACACTTTGAGGTTTGAGAAATTGTTGGAGATATTTATAGACCTGGGTGTCACGTGACTACTTTCACTTTAGGAAATTAAAAAGGGCATTCTATGACATATTCGGGATATGTTAGATCGCAAAAATTACGTATAAGCAATATTGTTAAAGTCATTATAAGGTTTTTTATACTTGGATAAATTTGCTAGATTAAGTATAAAATGCAAGGTATATTTCAAAAAAATGCCTTAACACCGTTGCGTATATTTGAAAATGTTTTTGCGATATTTTTACAACCATACACTATTATAATTTTCATACATTTTTTTGGCGATATTTTCATGACAATTGACATAAAAAATATTTTTGTGTTTGCTGGGACATTACAATATTAAATTGATAACCTCTTTGAATTGGTCAGTGTATTCAAAGGATCAATAAGTGAAAAGGAATCGTACAAAAATGTATCTAAGTTTATGAACTCTATAAACAACATGACAGTTAAAGAATGAGACATGTCGTTTGTAATACGTTTTCTACGAGTTCATTCAAATTGCTGAACCAAATGTGTGTAGGTATAAAATAATTAAGTAAAGGTAAGCAGTTATTAGTGGTAACGAAATCTCGGACTTAATGATTTACCAGTGATACATAGATACATTTCATTAAAATCTGTAACGCCACTATAGACACAGGCGTAGCGAACGAGATCCTGATGGATATTTGTTTATTAGGCATTCTTATTATGCGTCAGTTATCATTTTCAATATATGTCGCGGAATTTCAACTGCAGCTACGGAATTGGAGAATGTTGAGAATACCGCAGGAGTTGCGACGTCGCGTTTTACCTATTATATCTAGGGTTGACGTTAGTGCGGGACGTAGCCTTAGGATTCAGAATATATATGAAGAGAACGTAAAACTGTATGGTTGTGTTTCTCCTTTTTATATTACGATAGTTGTTTAAGCCCCGACATTTATTGTCTGTTGCCTTTGTCGGTAAAATAAACCACCTACTGACTGGATACTCGTGGAATAGTAAGTTTATTGTCCCCTCAGATACAACTATTGACCTCGGCTACGCCTCAGGGCAATAAAGCAAATCGGGGGACAATTAACTTGCTATTGCACTCATACCCAGTCAATAAGTATAAACTATCACATCCCCTTACTTTAATAAAGATATGCGATAAAAACATATTCTCCAAAAAAACGAACAACATTAAGATACAATGTATGTTATATGGCAACAACGGACGATAATCCTGACTTGGGACAAGCACAAAAATATGGTTAAACTAGGTTTTGTTAGACCATTACTATCCCCCTTCTAAAATGCAATGAGAAAATAAATAAAATTTAGTTATCTCAATTCTAATGCAATTACTGTATAAGCTTAATATTTGATTAAAAATTACTTAAACTACTGTAAAAAGAATGTGACATCTTGCATTTAGGCTTTTAAAAAATCATGAAGATATATGTTCAAGTTGAGCTTTTTTTTTTTATATTTTACCTTTTTTTTTTGTATGCATGTATATATTAATTAAATTGGATTTTACCTTTTTAATACGGCAACTTATTCAGTTACACTTATGTAACATAATTGAATTGATGCTATATTGCATTGAAATTGCATTAGAATTTGATAGCATTGTATTCTTTACTGAAACTTGAAAGGAATTTTTCAGGGCAATGAACAAACCAAAGGCAAGGGAAGTCTTGATTATAAATTTGAGTTATTTGTCTTCTCAAAATACTTTGAGCAACCCAACATGGATTTCCTTTGGTAAACAATTTTGTACGGGCATGTTCTTTTGTTACAAGATGATTGTATAGTTTTAAAAATGGTACTTTTTATAAGAGAATATTACTTTTAGTTTTTTATAGAAATCATGGAAGTATTTTTTTACCGTACATGCATGATACTTTGGACAAATGTATTCCATGTTGCAAGGACTACGGAACTTGTATTTTTTTCACCTTAGTTAATTATTAATATATGTATATATATATATACTGTTCAAATTATACATTGAATTGAATTTAAGATTGGTACACACTGTGAATAACTCTTATGTTCTTTGTTTACAGGGTTATTATTGCAATTTTGAAGATCGAAATATATTAAGTGATTCCATATTATTTGTTTTGGGGATACCAATTTTCCTGGTTAAAGTTTAAAACATGAAATAAATTGTTTAACGATGAACAAAATGTTTAGTAAACTTGTGTAGTTATGCCCCCCTTGTAGCGGAGGGGGCATTAAGTGTTACCTTTGTCCGTACGTATGTCCCATAATTGGTTTCCGTTCTCTAACTTTAGTTTGCCTCAACCAAATTTTATGAAACTTGTACACAATGCTTATTACTACAAAACACAGATCATGTTTGAATTTGGGTGGGGTCACTTTTACCATTCTAGAGTTATGCCCCTTTACAAATGGAAATTGCTGAATTTTCGTTCCCATTCTCTAACTTTAGTTTTCCTCAACCAAATGTTATTTTGGGAAATGCCACATTTACCATTCTTGAGTTATGCCCCTTTACAAATGGAAAAATTGCTGAATTTATAGTTTCTGTTCTCTAACTTTGAATTGTCTGAACCAAATGTTATGAAACTTATACACAATACTTATTACCAGAAAACACAGATCAAGTTTGAATTTTGGTGGCCTCAATTTTACTGTTCTAGAGTTGTGCCCCTTTATAAATGGAAAAATTGCTGAATGTTTCCGTTCTCTAACTTTAGTTTGCCTCAAATAAATGTTATGAAACTTATATGTATACTTATTACCACAAAACATAGATCGAGTTTGTATTTTGGTAACATCACTTTTACTGTTCTAAATTAGGCCCCTTTACAAATGGAAAATTTGCCAAATTGTCACTTTTACTGTTGTTGAGTTATGTCATATAATATTATATTGGCGAGGGCATCATCCGTGTCCCATGCACATTCCCCGTTTTTTTTAGTAGGCCTTTTGTCAGAAATATTAAAGAATTGAATACCGGTAACTAAGGTATATTTTTAAATCTGACAACCAAAAAACTTAATTGCATTATATAGGATATTTGTTCTCGTATATTGTGTTTATAAAAAAAATTTATTATCCACTTGTATTTCGTATTATATTTTATTTTATATACAACTTTATTTTATATACTGTCGAGAATATTTTGTAAAAATTCTGATCATTGATGCATATAAAATGATAATTACTACGTTTGTGTGTATCCTTTAACGCTGTAGTTACACTTTATTTTACTTGGTATTGAATTTATATATTGATGTACTTGCACCATTGAGTTTTTGCCTGTATATATTCTGTTATGGGTTTCATTTATTAATTTTCTTGATGTCATTTAATAAAGTTCAAGCTATTTGCCTCTGGAATTGTTAGATTTCTTGTTGCAGACTTTGGAGGGTTGCAAAAAATATGTATGGACAGCAAATGAGCAATGCAATGAATGAAATCAACATTGACCAAAAAAATATATGCATGAAATCTAAAATTTGTCTGCTCCCGTGTTTCTACCAAGAGTTCAAAAGGAACTAGGTTCAATTTGTATATATAAACGGTTTTCTAAAAAATCATATTTTGGTGAAAAGAAGATGCTGTAGTTGAAGTGTTTTCTAGAAATCTGGTTTCATATATTTATAGTACTTATTTGTACTTGGACATCCTTCGCTTTGATTTTTTGGCTAGAGTTTTCCTGATGAAGATAAAACCAGAAAAGCGTTTTGGATGAATCAAATTTATATTTCAATTTTTGTTTCATGTTGTATTATCAGACTTGTATACTTATTTATTAAATATGTCTCAGATAGTATTAATCCCAAAAACAAACATGTGGTGTGAAACATGATCTACAGATTTTCAGAGTAGGTGTGGATTCCAAATTGTTGGCTGCCAGTTTACCCAATATGACATTCCCTTCGCCTTAATAACTATTGGAGAGTTTGATAGTTGAATCACCAGAACTAGTCCGTCTTATTTGCTGTTGTGAATTTGACAAAAAGAAAATAAGTGGAATAAATTTACTTTTCCTGTTGGTGCAGTCTGGGGTACATTCCTACCTTTACAAATTTATGCAGTAATTACATTACTTAATTAGTATTTCACTAGATTATAACAAGACGCGTGAAATTTTTTTTTTTGGGGGGGGGCGGTAATTTTGACAAATGCTTTGCGACTCAACAGATGGCTTAAATATGAGTTGCTGATTGTAAAAATTTTCACTAATTTGTCGGCTTGATATCCGAGTTGCAAGGAATGAAAGCCTCGGTTCTTTGTTGGAAAAAAGAGGTTGAGATACAAGGAGTTTAACTTGTTGTAAGGTGTCATTACCATGGTTAAATCATACAATAAATTTTAGAAAAATAACTCCAGTATACACATTGATTCAATTCATATTTAGAGAGTCCGGGTATTTGATGATGATGGATTTTTTTCCAACTTGAATTGAAATATGAACGTCATCATCTTCATTATATTCTTATGGTAATGGCTCATTTTTAACCAGGGGTGACTTGAGAAAAAAATCACTGAGCTTGATGGATATATGGGTTTGAAGCAGTATAAATGTTCATATATATTTATTACAGAAAAGCAGACATCACTATTAAAGTAAGTAAACAAGAAAAATTAAAAAAACGGAACACTTTTTCTATTTATTTAATCCTGTCTCCCCTTTTTGGATTGTTGCACGTTCCATTTATAATTCTAGTATAATTTGTAAAAAAATATAATTTGTTTAAAATTTTGTCCCGTTATTTCTTTACACTTTTATTAAGATTTTACTTTGTCAAATCAAATAAAAAAATGTAGTGTTAAACATTGAATTTGCCGCCCATTAAAGTTTTATTTTCACAACATCGGAAATGGAACGTACACAGGATCCGCAATTATCTTCTTTTATTTGAATCATCTGAAAAGATAAACAAAACGAGCATACAAATATTGAAAAGTGCAGGTGCTTAACCTCACAGTAGCTATTAGTTTTAAAAGTGTATCGATTTAGAATAGGATAGGGATTAATAAAAGTTCTGCCACTTAATTTTAAAAGATAAAACAATGTGTTTAAAACTCCCCAAACTAGTGCCGTAGCGTATAGAATGATACATTTTCAAGTTAAAATTAGAAATTTAAGGCTAATGATATAAAAACAAAGTAAGTGGCAGTATTTTTCTTCGATTATAGTTCATTGTCTTTGCATCGGTTGTGCATTTGTTTACAGAAAGTGCTCTCTTGCACTTACACTTTGAGGTTTGAGAAATTGTTGGAGATATTTATAGACCTGGGTGTCACGTGACTACTTTCACTTTAGGAAATTAAAAAGGGCATTCTATGACATATTCGGGATATGTTAGATCGCAAAAATTACGTATAAGCAATATTGTTAAAGTCATTATAAGGTTTTTTATACTTGGATAAATTTGCTAGATTAAGTATAAAATGCAAGGTATATTTCAAAAAAATGCCTTAACACCGTTGCGTATATTTGAAAATGTTTTTGCGATATTTTTACAACCATACACTATTATATTTTTCATACATTTTTTTGGCGATATTTTCATGACAATTGACATAAAAATATTTTTGTGTTTGCTGGGACATTACAATATTAAATTGATAACCTCTTTGAATTGGTCAGTGTATTCAAAGGATCAATAAGTGAAAAGGAATCGTACAAAAATGTATCTAAGTTTATGAACTCTATAAACAACATGACAGTTAAAGAATGAGACATGTCGTTTGTAATACGTTTTCTACGAGTTCATTCAAATTGCTGAACCAAATGTGTGTAGGTATAAAATAATTAAGTAAAGGTAAGCAGTTATTAGTGGTAACGAAATCTCGGACTTAATGATTTACCAGTGATACATAGATACATTTCATTAAAATCTGTAACGCCACTATAGACACAGGCGTAGCGAACGAGATCCTGATGGATATTTGTTTATTAGGCATTCTTATTATGCGTCAGTTATCATTTTCAATATATGTCGCGGAATTTCAACTGCAGCTACGGAATTGGAGAATGTTGAGAATACCGCAGGAGTTGCGACGTCGCGTTTTACCTATTATATCTAGGGTTGACGTTAGTGCGGGACGTAGCCTTAGGATTCAGAATATATATGAAGAGAACGTAAAACTGTATGGTTGTGTTTCTCCTTTTTATGTTACGATAGTTGATTAAGCCCCGACATTTATTGTCTGTTGCCTTTGTCGGTAAAATAAACCACCTACTGACTGGATACTCGTGGAATAGTAAGTTTATTGTCCCCTCAGATACAACTATTGACCTCGGCTACGCCTCAGGGCAATAAAGCAAATCGGGGGACAATTAACTTGCTATTGCACTCATACCCAGTCAATAAGTATAAACTATCACATCCCCTTACTTTAATAAAGATATGCGATAAAAACATATTCTCCAAAAAAACGAACAACATTAAGATACAATGTATGTTATATGGCAACAACGGACGATAATCCTGACTTGGGACAAGCACAAAAAAATGGTTAAACTAGGTTTTGTTAGACCATTACTATCCCCCTTCTAAAATGCAATGAGAAAATAAATAAAATTTAGTTATCTCAATTCTAATGCAATTACTGTATAAGCTTAATATTTGATTAAAAATTACTTAAACTACTGTAAAAAGAATGTGACATCTTGCATTTAGGCTTTTAAAAAATCATGAAGATATATGTTCAAGTTGAGCTTTTTTTTTATATTTTACCTTTTTTTTTGTATGCATGTATATATTAATTAAATTGGATTTTACCTTTTTAATACGGCAACTTATTCAGTTACACTTATGTAACATAATTGAATTGATGCTATATTGCATTGAAATTGCATTAGAATTTGATAGCATTGTATTCTTTACTGAAACTTGAAAGGAATTTTTCAGGGCAATGAACAAACCAGAGGCAAGGGAAGTCTTGATTATAAATTTGAGTTATTTGTCTTCTCAAAATACTTTGAGCAACCCAACATGGATTTCCTTTGGTAAACAATTTTGTACGGGCATGTTCTTTTGTTACAAGATGATTGTATAGTTTTAAAAATGGTACTTTTTATAAGAGAATATTACTTTTAGTTTTTTATAGAAATCATGGAAGTATTTTTTTACCGTACATGCATGATACTTTGGACAAATGTATTCCATGTTGCAAAGACTACGGAACTTGTATTTTTTTCACCTTAGTTAATTATTAATATATGTATATATATATATATATACTGTTCAAATTATACATTGAATTGAATTTAAGATTGGTACACACTGTGAATAACTCTTATGTTCTTTGTTTACAGGGTTATTATTGCAATTTTGAAGATCGAAATATATTAAGTGATTCCATATTATTTGTTTTGGGGATACCAATTTTCCTGGTTAAAGTTTAAAACATGAAATAAATTGTTTAACGATGAACAAAATGTTTAGTAAACTTGTGTAGTTATGCCCCCCTTGTAGCGGAGGGGGCATTAAGTGTTACCCTTGTCCGTACGTATGTCCCATAATTGGTTTCCGTTCTCTAACTTTAGTTTGCCTCAACCAAATTTTATGAAACTTGTACACAATGCTTATTACTACAAAACACAGATCATGTTTGAATTTGGGTAGGGTCACTTTTACCATTCTAGAGTTATGCCCCTTTACAAATGGAAATTGCTGAATTTTCGTTCCCATTCTCTAACTTTAGTTTTCCTCAACCAAATGTTATTTTGGGAAATGCCACATTTACCATTCTTGAGTTATGCCCCTTTACAAATGGAAAAATTGCTGAATTTATAGTTTCTGTTCTCTAACTTTGAATTGTCTGAACCAAATGTTATGAAACTTATACACAATACTTATTACCAGAAAACACAGATCAAGTTTGAATTTTGGTGGCCTCAATTTTACTGTTCTAGAGTTGTGCCCCTTTATAAATAGAAAAATTGCTGAATGTTTCCGTTCTCTAACTTTAGTTTGCCTCAAATAAATGTTATGAAACTTATATGTATACTTATTACCACAAAACATAGATCGAGTTTGTATTTTGGTAACATCACTTTTACTGTTCTAAATTAGGCTCCTTTACAAATGGAAAATTTGCCAAATTGTCACTTTTACTGTTGTTGAGTTATGTCATATAATATTATATTGGCGAGGGCATCATCCGTGTCCCATGCACATTCCCCGTTTTTTTAGTAGGCCTTTTGTCAGAAATATTAAAGAATTGAATACCGGTAACTAAGGTATATTTTTAAATCTGACAACCAAAAAACTTAATTGCATTATATAGGATATTTGTTCTCGTATATTGTGTTTATAAAAACATTTTATTATCCACTTGTATTTCGTATTATATTTTATTTTATATACAACTTTATTTTATATACTGTCGAGAATATTTTGCAAAAATTCTGATCATTGATGCATATAAAATGATAATTACTACGTTTGTGTGTATCCTTTAAGGCTGTATTTACACTTTATTTTACTTGGTATTGAATTTATATATTGATGTACTTGCACCATTGAGTTTTTGCCTGTAAATATTCTGTAATGGGTTTCATTTATTAATTTTCTTGATTTCATTTAATAAAGTTCAAGCTATTTGCCTCTGGAATTGTTAGATTTCTTGTTGCAGACTTTGGATGGGTTGCAAAAAATATGTATGGACAGCAAATGAGCAATGCAATGAATGAAATCAACATTGACCAAAAAAATATATGCATGAAATCTAAAATTTGTCTGCTCCCGTGTTTCTACCAAGAGTTCAAAAGGAACTAGGTTCAATTTGTATATATAAACGGTTTTCTAAAAAATCATATTTTGGTGAAAAGAAGATGCTGTAGTTGAAGTGTTTTCTAGAAATCTGGTTTCATATATTTATAGTACTTATTTGTACTTGGACATCCTTCGCTTTGATTTTTTGGCTAGAGTTTTCCTGATGAAGATAAAACCAGAAAAGCGTTTTGGATGAATCAAATTTATATTTCAATTTTTGTTTCATGTCGTATTATCAGACTTGTATACTTATTTATTAAATATGTCTCAGATAGTATTAATCCCAAAAACAAACATGTGGTGTGAAACATGATCTACAGATTTTCAGAGTAGGTGTGGATTCCAAAATGTTGGCTGCCAGTTTACCCAATATGACATTCCCTTCGCCTTAATAACTATTGGAGAGTTTGATAGTTGAATCACCAGAACTAGTCCGTCTTATTTGCTGTTGTGAATTTGACAAAAAGAAAATAAGTGGAATAAATTAGTATTTCACTAGATTATAACAAGACGCGTGAATGTTTTTTTTTTTTTTTTTTTGGGGGGGGGGGGGGGGTAGGGGGGGGGGGTAATTTTGACAAATGCTTTGCGACTCAACAGATGGCTTAAATTTGAGTTGCTGATTGTAAAAATTTTCACTAATTTGTCGGCTTGATATCCGAGTTGCAAGGAATGAAAGCCTCGGTTCTTTGTTGGAAAAAAGAGGTTGAGATTGATTGATTGATTGATTGTTGGTTGCTTAACGTCCAGTGGCAAATATTTCATGCATATTCAGGACGAGAACAAGTTAACAATAAATACAATAGGTAGGTTCTGTAATAGGGGCTTCCGGGATTAAGGTCGGAAAAATTTAGACTGCCACGGGAATGAGGGTATATTGGATAGGGACAGAAATTTAGCCTTGCAACAGGTCACCTACGGACCCCTCAAAGAGTTGTTGCAAGGGTTCTTAACGTGCAAAGAGCGTGGCACTCTCTTTACACGAGGCATCGGATTTAACGTCCCCATTCTGACCGGACGTGGCTGCAAATTTGTACATCCCGCACAGCCAAACGGACGCCCCACTTTAGCACGGGTTTTACTGCCGGTCGGAGGAAGACCAATGGTGACCATACTTCTATTCCCCAGTCACCCTTGGGGGGGAAGAGGTTGAGATACAAGGAGTTTAACTTGTTGTAAGGTGTCATTACCATGGTTAAATCATACAATAAATTTTAGAAAAATAACTCCAGTATACACATTGATTCAATTCATATTTAGAGAGTCCGGGTATTTGATGATGATGGATTTTTTTCCAACTTGAATTGAAATATGAACGTCATCATCTTCATTATATTCTTATGGTAATGGCTCATTTTTAACCAGGGGTGACTTGAGAAAAAAATCACTGAGCTTGATGGATATATGGGTTTGAAGCAGTATAAATGTTCATATATATTTATTACAGAAAAGCAGACATCACTATTAAAGTAAGTAAACAAGAAAAATTAAAAAAACGGAACACTTTTTCTATTTATTTAATCCTGTCTCCCCTTTTTGGATTGTTGCACGTTCCATTTATAATTCTAGTATAATTTGTAAAAAAATGTAATTTGTTTAAAATTTTGTCCCGTTATTTCTTTACACTTTTATTAAGATTTTACTTTGTCAAATCAAATAAAAAAATGTAGTGTTAAACATTGAATTTGCCGCCCATTAAAGTTTTATTTTCACAACATCGGAAATGGAACGTACACAGGATCCGCAATTATCTTCTTTTATTTGAATCATCTGAAAAGATAAACAAAACGAGCATACAAATATTGAAAAGTGCAGGTGCTTAACCTCACAGTAGCTATTAGTTTTAAAAGTGTATCAATTTAGAATTGGATAGGGATTAATAAAAGTTCTGCCACTTAATTTTAAAAGATAAAACAATGTGTTTAAAACTCCCCAAACTAGTGCCGTAGCGTATAGAATGATACATTTTCAAGTTAAAATTAGAAATTTAAGGCTAATGATATAAAAACAAAGTAAGTGGCAGTATTTTTCTTCGATTATAGTTCATTGTCTTTGCATCGGTTGTGCATTTGTTTACAGAAAGTGCTCTCTTGCACTTACACTTTGAGGTTTGAGAAATTGTTGGAGATATTTATAGACCTGGGTGTCACGTGACTACTTTCACTTTAGGAAATTAAAAAGGGCATTCTATGACATATTCGGGATATGTTAGATCGCAAAAATTACGTATAAGCAATATTGTTAAAGTCATTATAAGGTTTTTTATACTTGGATAAATTTGCTAGATTAAGTATAAAATGCAAGGTATATTTCAAAAAAATGCCTTAACACCGTTGCGTATATTTGAAAATGTTTTTGCGATATTTTTACAACCATACACTATTATATTTTTTATACATTTTTTTGGCGATATTTTCATGACAATTGACATAAAAATATTTTTTTGTTTGCTGGGACATTACAATATTAAATTGATAACCTCTTTGAATTGGTCAGTGTATTCAAAGGATCAATAAGTGAAAAGGAATCGTACAAAAATGTATCTAAGTTTATGAACTCTATAAACAACATGACAGTTAAAGAATGAGACATGTCGTTTGTAATACGTTTTCTACGAGTTCATTCAAATTGCTGAACCAAATGTGTGTAGGTATAAAATAATTAAGTAAAGGTAAGCAGTTATTAGTGGTAACGAAATCTCGGACTTAATGATTTACCAGTGATACATAGATACATTTCATTAAAATCTGTAACGCCACTATAGACACAGGCGTAGCGAACGAGATCCTGATGGATATTTGTTTATTAGGCATTCTTATTATGCGTCAGTTATCATTTTCAATATATGTCGCGGAATTTCAACTGCAGCTACGGAATTGGAGAATGTTGAGAATACCGCAGGAGTTGCGACGTCGCGTTTTACCTATTATATCTAGGGTTGACGTTAGTGCGGGACGTAGCCTTAGGATTCAGAATATATATGAAGAGAACGTAAAACTGTATGGTTGTGTTTCTCCTTTTTATGTTACGATAGTTGATTAAGCCCCGACATTTATTGTCTGTTGCCTTTGTCGGTAAAATAAACCACCTACTGACTGGATACTTGTGGAATAGTAAGTTTATTGTCCCCTCAGATACAACTATTGACCTCGGCTACGCCTCAGGGCAATAAAGCAAATCGGGGGACAATTAACTTGCTATTGCACTCATACCCAGTCAATAAGTATAAAATATCACATCCTCTTACTTTAATAAAGATATGCGATAAAAACATATTCTCCAAAAAAACGAACAATATTAAGATACAATGTTTGTTATATGGCAACAACGGACGATAATCCTGACTTGGGACAAGCACAAAAATATGATTAAACTAGGTTTTGTTAGACCATTTCTATCCCCCTTCTAAAATGCAATGAGAAAATAAATAAAACGCTCATAAAAGAACATATTACGATAAAACCAAGTACAGGATAAGCACTTAACTCTAAAATCTTTAATCCATTTTGAAACTTCTAAATTGAAGACGTGGAATGTTAACCTGATCTATATATTTATTAATTGATTGATTTGTGGAATTATTGATTAATTTTTTGTAGCTTGTTAATCATCCAGTGGCAAAAATTGTTAGCTTATTTAGAACCATAAACTTATAAAATGAACAACTTATACAATTGGAAGGTTCTATAGTCAGCTGATGAATATAAAGGAAAGGCATATATGAATATATAATTTTGGTGTTTGATGGAATCTATAAAAAAGAAAAATAGATTGCTGTATTTCATAAGCTTACATGTACAATCTTCACTAGTGACTCCATTTTTGCACGCACATTTTGGCTGAAATTCATCAAGAAAACACGTCCCACCATTGTCACAGCTAAAGTTATCACATGGAGTACCTGATATTAAAATCAAGTGTTAGGTTAAAATAATACGAGAAAGGAAAGCCATTTGACGATCGTATATTGTCTTTTAAATATTTATTTTCTTTCTTTGTGTGTTGTGAGGTTGAAGTCTAATAGATGTATATTTCATTATTTTTGCAGTCATTCGCTCTATTCTTTGAAGTAAGAAATCCATATGTACATATACCGGTGTGTATTGTCACAAAAACTGCATTTAAAGTGTTTATTTATTTTTGCATACTCATAAAAAAAGATTGGAAATAAATAACCTTCACACGTTGTACTATTGTCTTCGAAGACATGTCACCCTACCCAGACACAATTATTCCGACTTCTAGTCTTGAAGCGGCTTCGTATTTATACTTTCGACACAGGGAATCGGAGGCCCAACCTTAGAGTGTGTTTAGCTTTGGATGGGATAACTCTAGGGACGACGACTTGCTAAACCTCAGTCAACCCTTAGGATGGACATATTGTATAACTGTCTTTAATTGTTGAAAACTTTATGTTGCCCTATAGATACCGTTTAGTATTTTCGTCGTTTGGTTGCTGTCTAATTGGCATACACCGCATCTCCTTATTTTCATATGTATTGAAAATAGCGATTATGTTAACGGTCATAATGCTTATAACTAAGCACGTTAAATGTGAATATCATATTACTCACTTTGGCATTGTAATCCTGTGAATCCGTGCAAACAGGTACAGGTAAAACTATAACCTGTCACCGAACAATTCCCACCGTGTTCACATGGGGAACTTGAACATGGCGTTACTGGAAAAGAATAAATATAGTAGATGAATGTAAACATAAGAAGACGTCGTATGGATGCTAATGAGAAAACTCTCCGCCAGAGACAAAATGACACAGAATGTGTATATTTAAATATGTGAGTTATTTTGTTCTAACCTTTTTGTGGTTAAATAAGTGGAAAGAAATGAGTTGCAGTAATAAAGTCGCCCAAAATAGTCATTTTGCCTTCGGTTTCAAATCTCCAATTCTGTGCAACAGATATCTCTGTTTCAGAAAAACATATGCATGTATAGTTGAAAGTTTCTTCATTATCCAATACTTGTAATTTATTTCTTTATGTAAATATTTTATTCGGTTATGGTAGTTGTTCATTCAACATTTTAATATTTCTAAATTTTAGTTTCTTCACTAAAAAGGTATTTATGACAGCCTTCGTTAGTTATGTTTTGATATTGATGAAATCAAACTCATATAATGAAAACGATTCTCCTATACTCTTATGAATGAACGGAGATGTCTGGTATGGCTCAATGGTAATGCAATCAACTGGTAAACATAACAAAAAACATCCCAGAGGGCAACAAACAGTCTTCCATAATAAACAGGTTTCTACACAAGATATCAAGTCAATTGTCTCTAGTCTATTTAAAGTAATGAATATTTAACAGCAACAAGCATTGAACAAGGTCATGCTTCTTGATGCTATCTATGACGTATTTACACTAAATACATTGGATGTGTACTAATTTACATTTAAGTCATGGGGATTATGGTTTATTTTAAGTTGAATTTGGACTCTGGACTATTATTTTCTGCTAGTATTCTTAGATCTGTTTTTTTTTTTGTGTGACATGTTAATTGTGTCTGTGCTTTGTACTTATTTTACATGTTATGAGGTAAGCCCTTTCCGATTTTTTTTCTAAATTCTAAATATTGTTTCTATGGTTGTTTTTTTAAACAAAACTGACACAGGTAAAGGGGGAGGTTTGAGCGCTAATAATATAACCAACATGTTAAATAACGCAATATTTGTATGGGTTTGTCACTAGCCAGGAACGGTTATTTGGTGTTTACTGCAGTATTAATCAAGTCGTTCATTTTCTTCTTTAAATTGTTTCACATTTTGTCATTCAGTGGCCTTTTATGGTTAACTGTACGGTAGAATGTAATCGCATTGTTGAAGGCCTTTCATTTTCACGTCTGTGTCCTTTATAAAGATAGGAAGATGTGGTATGATTAAGACTACTACATGTACTCACCAGAGACCGTAGATGTTATCAACTATTGGTCACTGTACGGCCTTCAATAATAGGCAACCGCATCACATTAACAAGCAACAAAAGGTCTTTAAATGGAGGAAAATTAAAACAATGCATACAAGAAAACCAACGGCCTGATTTATGTGTAAAACAATAAACATGAAAAAAGTGATATACGGCAACACACGACAACCACTGATTTACAGGTTCATGTCTTGAGACAGGCACAAACAGAATGTGGAAGAATTAAACATTTTTGCGACTTCCAAATCCTCCTCCTAACCTGGGATATCAGAGCAGTAACATAACAAAATAAGAATAAACTGTAAAATTCAATTGAAAAAGGCTTGGCATCATATCGATAGAAAGTACAAAGAACAAAATACTAAATACATAAAGAACCGGTCTGAGAGAATCAACATTGCTAAAAGTTAAATCAAGGCCATTATCATATAATAAAAGAATCATGTACCCAAGACAAAATATGAGTCAGTACACATCTAACGGATTTTGTATAAAGACGTCGTAAATAGTCTGAGAAAAAAATTACTTTTTGCAACGCCAAAATATAAGCAGCAATAGGATGTAAGGCATTGGGCATTAATAACTGTAAAATAATACATATTTGATTATGTTTTAATTTATTGATTTCAAAATCAATGTTACTACCGATAAAAACAATATTTAAAGATCTTATTTTAAGATTGAATTGATTACCTTTGACAATAAGTCAGTTTATTCAAAGGATCGATTTATGAAAAGGGATCGTATTTAAATTCAGAGCTCTACAAAAAACATGACAGTTATAGGATGAGATATTTCGTTTGTAATACGTTTTCTTCAAGTTCCTCCAAATTGCTGAACCAAATCTGTGTGGTTATAAAATAATTTAGTAAAGATTAGAAGTAATTTGTGGTAACAAAATCCCTCACTAAATGATTTACCAGTGATATATAGATAACGTTCAATAAAAACAGTAACGTTACTACAAACACAGGCGTAGCAAACGAGGTCCTGATGGATATTTGTCGTATAAGCAATCGTACTACATATCCTTATTTTGATCAAGATATGCGGTAAAAACATATTCTCCAAAACACGAACAACATAAAGATACAATGTATGTTAATCGAAAACAACCGACGAAGATTCTGACTTTGGAAAGACAAAAGAAAATGATTAAACTAGATTTTGTTAGACCATAACTATCCATATTGTAAAATTCAATCAGTATATAAATAAAACGCCCATAAAAGAACATAATACGATAAAACAAAGTACAAGATAAGCATTTTACTCGTAAAAAAAGGTTTAACATGAATCTGTTGTTCATTTTTGAATTTTTAAATTGAAGACGTAGAATGTTAACCTGATCTATATATTGATTGATTGGTTGGTTGATTGATTTATTGATTGTAGCTTGTTGATCATCCAGTGGGAATTATTTGTTGCTTAACCATAAACTAAAAAAAATCAACAACTTATACAACAGGAAGGTTCTGCAGACAGCTGATGAATATAAAGGAAAGGCATATATGTATATACAATTTTGGTGTTTGATCGAATCTATAAACAACATAAATATATTGTTATATTTTATAAGCTAACTTGTACAGTTTTCACCAGTGAATCCATTTTTGCACGCACATTTTGGCTAAAATTCATCAAGAAAACACGCCCCATCATTATCACAGCTATAGTTAACGCATGGAGTACCTGCCATAATTATCAATCGCTCTGATGAGTTAAGCACTTTTCAACTGATTTTTTCTATTATAGTTTTTCTTATGATGTGCTGTAGCACCACTGTCCCAGGTAAGTGGAGGGTTGAGCGCTAACAAATATGTTTAACCCCCCACATTCTTTATGTTCCTGTCCCAAGTCTGGAGCTTGTAGTTAAGTGTTTGTCGTTGGCTCATGTCTGTCATATTTGTTTTTCGTAAAATATTTTGCTATAGATTAGGCCGTTAAATTCCTCAGTTGAATTGTTTCATATTTTTCATGTCGTGCCTTTTAAAGCAATATTGCAACGTTTCAATCAAAATACCATTAGCTTAAACAATCATCGCCTGCCCAAAACTGTATTATGTTTTGAAAACAATATGCATTTACAGATGTTAACTTACATTGATTTCCAGAATTTGTGTCTCCTGAAATATAAAAAAACGATGTCTATCAATTGAGCGTAATTGTTTGAGTCAATGTTTTCTTTTAAATTATAATGCAATTGAATTTCTATGTACACATAATAACCATTATAAAATGATCAAGAGCAACTGTGTCACTACGTCATGACATCAAACTGACATTGCCTTTTTTAAACGTGAATGCAGGACTTCCTTTATAGGCATTTCATTTATGGATTAGATTTAGTGATATATGGACTTATTTATAATTTTATATTTATAATTTAGGAAATTTTAATAAACTGTATTTTGGACGTTAGATGACACAACGGTGCAATGAAATGGTAGAAATTGTACATAATGTATAAATAAAGGCAACAGTAGTATACCGCTGTTTGAAATTCATAGATCAATTGAGAAAAAAACAAATCCGGGTTACAAACTAAAACTGAGGGAAACACATCAAATATAAGAGGAGAACTACGACACAACAGAAACACAACATTAAATTGTAACACATACTTCCGAAATGTTAATTATGCAATTTTTTAGTGAGGAATTATCTTTTGTTCATTTACAGTTCAATTTAATAAATTTAAAATCTGAGTTACAACTTAATTGTATTCCACAGGAAATTTTGTTCCAGCTGTTTACATCAAATACTATCTTAGTAATTTAAACATAAATTCAAATCCAGAAGTTATTTTAATTTCCTGTTTCAATTGTATTTGTATATTTGAAATAACCATTCTTACTTCCTCTGGATACAGTAATTTGAAATTTGGTAAGGGTATTAGCTAAAGATTTAATTTATATTTAGTTTTGTTTTTCTTTTTTCTTCTTTTTTGCATTGTTTCGATATTTCTTATTTTTCTTGTATTTTTGAAGTTCTAATTATTAAAATAATTGAATTAACCATATCAATTTATTGCACCAATAAAAAATAAACTTATGTTGATTTTTTATTTATTTTAAAATTCAACTTTCAATCAATAATCCATTAAAAAAATGAAAACAACACGTTATAAATTCCATGCGTCAGAAGCGGATTTACCTGCACCAGGAACGCTCAACGCCAAATTTTTGAAAGCGAAAGATGTATAAGAATTGAAACAGTTGAAGACCTATACGACGATAAAAAGACCTAAAAAATAGCCAAATCCATCTAAAATCAACTTTGCCTGAAGCAGTTAAAACCTCAGTTTCTTATTAATTTAAAAATCTATAAAGGACAATTCAAGCTGATAAATGTGCTTCGTGGCATTTGTGACTCATTTATATTTCTTTGTCTGTATATATGTCTAAACAATAGGATAATCCCTTACTCAGAAAATGATGTACATTCATTCTTCATAATTATGGAACATCAAAGCCTACATTTTCATTGGCAGAAAGCACTTTGATTTTTTTTAACTAAATATTAGCACATACTTACAACTTCTCGTCCAATTAAATTGCTTGAATTTGCCTTCTAATTTTCATAGTACATACTTTTTCCGTGTACTAAGTAAATATGCATGAATGACCACAAAGGGTAAGATTTCATCGTATTGTAATCACGATATTAAAACAAAAGTTGCCACTGGCTATTTTGGAATAAATTTTGTGTCCAAAATTTAAAAAAAAGTTTGTTATTAGTTTTCACATTGATTTTTAAATAGCAGGCTATTAAAATCTTAGGATTTAAAAAAAAATAATTTTGATTTTGTCAATTTTAAGTTTCTTTCATTTGAATAAAGAATAACAAATATTGTCCTAAACACCTTGATTAGAGTACAACGCTATCTTATAATTGTGGCAATTTATCATCCATGCAATTGCTATGTCCACAAAAAAGTGTGTCCTATGAAATCTTGTGAAGCGAAATGAAGGCAACTTTTTTTTTATAACTTTCGTTAGGAAATTGATCTATTTTATCTTGAATTGAAAAATCGTGGTAATATCTGAAGGGATATATATATATAATTTTTGCACCTTTTGTTTGTGGTATACCATCTTTTCCGCAAGTTCATTGTTTAGTATTAAATTAATAGTTAAGATCCATTTTGTTACATCTGGTGATCCGTTTATTTGGCAATCGCCAATGGCAGTCAGCAGGGTTTAAGAACATCCGTTGTTCGACCTGTTTATCAAATGCGTTTTGTTAAAATATACTTTCTCACTTTTTTTGGTCTTTTGGAAAATGTTGTTTGTGCTGTATTTAGTTCCCTCTACCAAGAAATTTATTTTGCATGCACACGTATAAAAATTGCGGTTTTTATCCAACGCAATATTTAATCCTAGGTTTAAACGTTGTTTTTATTTTGAAAAAAACAAACAAACTAAAAACCCTATAATCTTTGATTTATTGGTAGTTGTTTCTAATGCCTATCCGCTAGACTATCTATGGGCACATATATCTATATGTTTATCTTTATTATAGCTTTAGTTGTACTGTGAAATTGAAAATTATTTTCAAAACATTACAGCTTCTACTGCAATTTAATTATATATGCCTGCTAATGGCCAATTTATTTTGTCGTCTTACCGTTTAAAGAAGTACACGTAGTAATACATCGCTTTATATCAATATAAATACTTACACCAGCAGCTACCATCTTTCATTCTGGAGTCAAGGGCCTTTTGAAATCACATATTTTACTATGATGCTAGTGGTTAAATTCAATAAACATAAAACTTAGTTAATGAACTCCGTTTTACAAACACCTGTGATACAAGCAGTGAGCCAAAATAAACTGTCAATAGACCAATTAAAAGATTACCTGAGTTGTAAATATGTGCTAAATTAGATAGTCTATAAAAAGGTATATACTATGAAATAAAGTACTCGGGGCAAGGCCTTCACTCTAAATTTCATAGTACATACCTTTTCATAGACTAACCGATATGTATTTGTAATTTAGGCTCACATATAATGCGACTAATTAAGAAAGGAACTGTACTTTTGAAAAGTCGTGACAACAATAGTTTAAGTACGAGACATAATGGATGAGCGTTAGTACGTTGAAGGGGCATACGCTGTTCATATTTATCGATTTGACTCAATTTTTTTATATTTTATTTATAACATACTAAAAAGAATATCTAAGTTTAACCCAAAAAAGGAGACACTTAAAAGTAACTGGAAATTAATCGATTTTTATGACCACTTCAAAGATCTTCGACCGGAAATGAATTTTGATGGACAATGAATCAACTGAAGAAAGTAATAGTTGTGTTTTCAATGAGCTTGATGCTGAAATAACAAATAATGAAGTTGAGCAGGTTATTAAACTATTGAAGCGTAGTAAAAGTCACGGACTTGACCTTTTCTTAAACGAATATTTCATTGAACTTTGCGACTTTTTGCTTCCATTTATAGTCGAGTTATTTAACGCTGTTCTCGAGAATGAACACTTTCCAAAGTCTTGGTGCGAAGCAATAGTCATACCGGGTTATAAACATAAAGTTAACGTGAATTTTACTAATAATTACAGCGAATAATCCTCTTCAGCGATTTAGCCAAGTTATCTACAGCTGTTTTAAACCAAAGACTGCTAAAGTGGGCATGTACAAACGACATTATAAGTGACGCACAATTGGGATTTAGACAAAGTCATTGCACGGCAGATGCAATATTCGTACTGCACTCTCTTATATAGATATTTTTATTTATATATAAATAGGACATTATCAGATAAGAAACGACTCTTCTGCTGTTTTGTTGACTACAAGAGAGTGTTTGATAGCATAAATTGTACAAAACTTTGGATGAAGCTTTCACAAGTGTTTCACATATAGGAATCCGTGTTAAGTTATTGACATGTGTGCGTTCTATGTACGAAGTGACACAGTCTTGTGTTCGTTTCAACGGTTCGTACTCTGAACTTTTTGAAGATCAAATCGTTTTACCCCAAGGTGAGGTTTTATTGCTTATATTCTTCTCTTTTTATGTCAATGACTGCAAAATGTCCTACTTAATCGATGGATGTATCCCGCTTGAGCTGAGAGATTTAAGTCTTTTTCTTCTAATGTATGCGGATGATGTGGTGCTATTTTCGTAAACAATACAAGGTCGACAGTCAATGCTGAATTCAATTAAACTATATACTGTAAAAAACGATTTGACAGTTAACATTGACAAAGCTAAGGTAGTTGTGTTTCGAAACGGAGGTCTAGTCAAGGATTATGAGAGATTGGTCTACAATAACTAGAGCTTAGAAACGGTCGATGACTCCTGTTATTTGGGATTTAATTGAAAATACAATGGAAAATTTCTATTTTCACAGAAGACGCTGGCATGACAAGGTCGAAAATCAATGATTGCCATGTTATCTACGTCAAGGAATTACTATTTAAACACTCAAACTCTCCTGTCTCTATTTGTTGTGTACGTAGGTAGTGTAATTCCATATGCATGCGAAATCTGGGGATTCTATAAAGTTGATGATGTCGAAAAATTCCACTTGCATTTCTGCAAAAGACAACTTGGTGTCTACAAATCAATGTTATGATATACCTGGAACTAGGAAGACTATCAATGATTGTTTCAAGAAAAATTCAAATTTTTAAATATTGGTTCAAAATCCTGTCAACAAATAACTGTATTTTAAGCTCCGTATATAAAGAAATATGCATCGATATTGATCGAAATCGTTCAAAAACTGTAAATTGGGCAAAGTTAATTAGAGATGAGCTAAACAACATTGGACTTGGAGATATGTGGTTTAAACAGTCAGATCTCGTATTTGAGATTGATTTTCCTCTTATTAAGCAACGACTTTTAGATATTAAAAACGTCAGATGTATTCGTTAATTGATAGCAGTAGTAAGTGTCGTATCTATAAATACATTATAATTTTATTTGACGAAGTATATCCCTACTGTGTACCGGAGAGCACTATCTAAAATAAGACTTTCTTTGCATTCGTTAGCAGTTGAAACTGGACGATACCAAAGCGTTCATTTGTCACGTCGTACATGTATAATTTGCCGTCAGTGTATTGAAGACGAATTTCATTTTATCTTAGTGTGTCCAAAATATAAGGAACTTAGAGTAAAATTCATCAAGAAATATTACTGGTCTAGGCCAAGTGTGTTTAAATTCATTGAACCTTTGAGTATAAAGAATACCAAACAGTTAACGAATTTAGGAAAAAACATTTTTACTGCATTTAAGATCAGAGACAACATTATAACATGAACATTCTTTGTCTGTTTAAATGTTTACTTTGAAGTTTTTATATTGATACCGATAAACTGTAAAGTTCATGGTAATACAGAATTTGAATTTAATAAGCCAAAATGCCGGAGAAAACGACGGGAAATCAAACAAAGTGTAGTAGTCAGTCGAGAACCAGCTTTACTTTTTCAGAGACAGAAAACTCAATTTACTTTCGTCATAATAATAAAGTCACAATGACGTCATGAATATCACGTCATTGCTTCAAAATAAACTTAGTTGAGCGAAGGTCAATATAGTGGTCATGACTCATGAAGTATTTAGTGTATTGAAAGTTGCAATGTTTTGATTTATAATGCATGATTATTACAATTGATGAAACTCAGTCATGTTATTATGACCAATATGTTGTAATAACAATGAAACGAGTCTTTTTGAATATCGGCATAATGAAAATGTATTCGATGACGACTTTTTTTTTATCGAAGACACTACATACACACTTATTGTATTTTATTGGCGCATCGTAATCTTCAACAGTGTATTTGAATACAAGTTTTAAATGATTTAAATTTACTACAATACAAACAATTCTTTGCTCTCTTTCAGAAAATGTCATCTAAACTTGTTGTAATGAAGTTAGTATAACATTTGTCAAAGAAAGATCCAATTGAATGATGTTTGATTGTCATTTCGAAGTATTTGTGACTAAAAGGATTTACACTTTACCTTGGCTTCTATTTTGCTGGCAACTTATTTATCGTTTGAGGGGGAAATATTTGAATCTACATATTAAATGGATAAAAAAAAATATCAAAATTCTCTGCTCTATAGATTTTCCTAAATGGAATCTAAAACTTAGCATAATTAATGCATAAATTAGATTTTGATTTGCGAACTACTGCTTATAAACTGTTACACTTCCCATGCTATGTGATGTAGAGACATGCCTCATAAATGTCAGCTAAAAGACAAATTTATAAAAAAAATTGAAAGTTTTCTTTGACAAATTTTATACTAACTTTATAACAACAAGTTTAAATTACATTTTCTTACGACTTCAAGGATAAATACTATGCCTGGTCTTTTCTGTTTACTTATTTATGTATTATTGTACATTGCATACACTTACGTCAATCGTTTGTTACCAACCGACTGTCCCTAGTATAGATAAACACATCTTCTCTCTTCAAATCCTTTTAAGATGTTTTTATTCTTATTTAGACTACAATATTTCAAGTTTATGAAAATAATGTATGATTTGAGGAGGATTATTTAACAGTGGCTACATCCTGAAAATATACCCATTCATATATTTGACATCATGAAAAACAGACCCATTCCAGCTTAATACCTATCATACCTTTATATTATACTTCATACAATAATCTGGAATTTCCATGGGATATTTAAAATGTGTTATTTCGGTATATTCCGTACTAACTCCGCCCCCTAAACAATGTTTGGTAGCCCTGCTAGTTCACCCCGATGTATCACCCTCCGGTGACCGGAAACTGCGTTCGCAATACGTATGCACAGTTGGCATAAAGGAGTGATATATTGAAAAGTGTATTCAGTATAATATAACATATACTGCCTGTAGTATCTCGTGTTACGCCGGAATAACACTCTCTATTACAGGCAGTTTGTGTATATTATTATACTGGGATAATATATCCCAGCTAATCCTGCAATTTGATTTGCTACCTTGACAGTGTATATATAAGCCTATATTCACTGTGAACAAAAATAAAATAAAAAATGTAATAGTAATTAAAATTTGAAATGAGGGCAGACGAGTATAATAAAATTGTTATTCGGGCTTCACAGGGACGATCCAGAAGAACATATAATATGGGAAGTGAAAAACATGGCAGATGTATTGTAAGTTGTAAGAAAACTGACAATTCTCCTTTCCGGTGCACAGAAGTTCGTTCACCTCAGTTTTCACTGAGTCCGTGTTCCTCGTAAGGGTTGATTTGGCCATTGTATGTTTTTCTTGTCCACGGGCATTTTTTTGTTCCTTTATTTCCCTTATTCTTGACTAGAACTTTGGTTTCCTGCCCTTTCTGCTGACCTAGTGACATTTACTGTTGAGTCTGTTTTTTGTGATATACATTTGACGTGACTCTGTACTTATGTATCCCGTCATACTTTGAACCACAATATTATTTTATTTATTAATATTACTGTTACTGTTAAGTCTTTTTTTTTTGTGATATCCATTTTACGTGACTCTGTACTTACGTATCCCGTCATACTTTGAACGACAAAAGTATTTTATGTCTACCTGTGCGAATTTCAAACGCGCGATTTTACGCCAGTACTTAAAACCTTCCATCCTTTATGGGTGGATTTTACATAGATATATAAAATCGTATAATAATAAAGTAAAATGAGGATGTTAAATTTGATGTATGCCTTTTCGTGCTTCTTCGTTACATTTGTTTGTTTTTATAGTGATTAAGATGATAACACAATGTTGACTGCTGTACCCCTATTTTTCAAATTTTTACCTATTGTGTCTGTTTGTTTTGTTCACGCATCGTTGTCAATATAATGGATTTTGATGCGACTGTCATACAAGTGAGAGGTTTAACTAGCTATAAAACCTGGTTTAATCCATCATTTTCTACATAAACAAAATGCCTGTACCAAGTCAGGAGTATGACAGTTGTTATCCATTCGTTTGATGTGTTTGAGCTTTTGATTTTGCCATTTGATTAGGAACTTTCCTTTTTAAATTTTTCTCGGAGTTCAGTATTTTTGTGATTTTTACTTTTGAGCAAAACAATCCTGAATTATACCATGATTTAAACCTGCCTACTAGCAGGTCTAAATTAAATCAAGATTAAACTGGTATTTCAACCAAGTTTAATTCAAACCACTTTTATGAATACGGTTTAATTTCAAACTTAGTTTAAATTTAAACCACCTCTATGAATACGGGCCTTAATATGTAAAGTCAGACACTTTTGTTCCTATGGTGTGTGGTTACACCACTGTTCAAAGTTAAACGAAGGATAGGGCGCGCGCAAACATGTTTTACCCCGCCACATTTTGTATGTGCCTGTCCCAAGTCAGGGACCTGTAATCCGGTGCTTGTAGTATGTTACTGTATATAATATATGTCTTCCGTTTGTTGTTTTGTTTATAAATCAGGACGTTTGTTTTTTCATTTAAGTTCATTTACATTTTGTTATGTCGGGGTCTTTTATGTCTTGATATGTGGTAAGGGTTTTGCTCATTGTTGAAAGCAGTCCGGAGAATTATAGTTGCTAACATCTACGTCATTTGGTCTCTAGTGGATAGTTTTCTCATTGACCATTAATACAACATCATGACCTTTTGTCCTGATAATAGCATTGAAATTTCTAAAAGCATTATGATATTTGCGAAAATGTGCGAGCTTTAAAACAAATATGCATATATATCTACCTTTATATTCACTCCAAATAAATAGGCTTACGAATATCACTGTAGTGGACAGAAATAAACATGCGGCAATTTTCAATTTCCGATTTGTACTCGACGAAACTGTTGTTTCCGTAGATGACTTGTCCATACCTTTATACCTAGAAAATAATCTATTAATGGTACAGTGAATGAGCATTTGACTTTAATTTTGCTACAAAATTTGCTCCCTTGAGTTTATGTAGGACTCATTAAATATACCAAGGTTATAATTTAATACGCCAAACTCGAATTTTTTCTTCTTAAGACTCATTGGTGTCGCTTGGATCAATAGATATAAGAAGATGTAGTTTGAGTGCCAATGAGACAACTCTCCATCCAAGTCAAAATTTATAAAAGTAAACCATTATAGGTCAAAGAACGGTCCTCAACACGGAACCTTGGCTCACACCGAACAGCAAGCTATAAAGGGCCCCAAAAATTACTAGTGTAAAACCGTTCAAACGGGAAAACCAACGGTCTAATCTATATAAAAAAAAACGAGAAACGAGAAACACTTATGAACCACATCAACAAACGACAACTACTGAACATCAGATTCTTGACTTAGGACAGGTGCAAACAATTGCAGCGGGTTTAAACGTTTTAATGCTACCAAACCTTCACCCTTATCTTAAACAATAGTGTAACATCACAACATAGAAAGACACACTATAAAATATCTATTGAAATGGATTAACTCAATCAAAAGCCATATTAACACCAGTGAACATACCCTGAACAAATAAATTTGATCTATGATACAATGTAAATACAAAATGAATAAACTAAGAGAAGAATAATTAAAGTAACATGTTAGCACAGTTTGAAACCAAAAAAAAAATGTGAAGTTGAAAACATTTTGTTTTTAATTCTTGACTGTAATTTGGTAGTGTTTCCATGAATTTTTATTGAAATATTTCTTCCTTACTCGACGAAACTGTTGTTTCCGTAGATGACTTGTCCATACCTTTATACCTAGAAAATAATCTATTAATGGTACAGTGAATGAGCATTTGACTTTACTTTTGCTACAAAATTTGATCCCTTGAGTTTATGTAGGGCTCATTAAATATACCAAGGTTATAATTTAATACACAAAATTCGAATTTGATCTTCTTAAGACTTATTGGTGTCGCTTGGATCAATAGATATAAGAAGATGTGGTATGAGTGCCAATGAGACAACTCTCCATCCAAGTCAAAATTTATAAAAGTATACCATTATAGGTCAATGTACGGTCTTCAACACAGAGCCTTGGCTGACACCAAACAGCAAGCTATAAAAGGCCCCAAAAATTACTAGTGTAAAACCATTCAAACGGGAAAACCAACGGTCTAATCTATATATAATATGAGAAACGAGAAACACTTATGAACCACATCAACAAACGACAACTACTGAACATCAGATTCTTGACTTAGGACAGGTGCAACCAATTGCAGCTGGTTTAAAGGTTTCAATGGTACCAAACCTTTACACTTATCTTATAGAATAGTGTAACATCACAACATAGAAAGACACAATATAAAATATCAATTGAAATGGCTTAACTCAATCAAAAGACATATTACCACAAGTAAACATACACTGAACAAATACATTTGATCTATGAATTAATGTAAATACAAAATAAATAAACTAGGGGAAGAATAATTAAAGTAACATGTAATACAGTTTGAAACCAAAAAAAATGTGAAGTTGAAAACATTTTGTTTTTAATTCTTGACTGTAATTTGGTAGTGTTTCCATGACTTTTTATTGAAGCATTTCTTCCTTACTAGAAAAACAATTTCTTCCATTAAGTATTGGTCACTGGATGTCATACAAACAATCAATCAATCAATCAATGAGTCAGTATGAAATATGCGTCTCTTTATGTTCTGCAAAGTGCCAATCAATCAATAAATCATTTCATTAATCAACCGACCAATACATCTACCAACCAACCAAACAATCATTTAGAAGCATGTTAAACTAAAAGAATATGAAATGACCATCATCAGCAATCGTTTGCTAAAACAGTTATTTGCTAAAACAATTATCTTATATTTATTGTAGCAAAGGCATAAAAGATATCAATGTGCAGAGTAAAAAGTAGAGTAACAAAAATATCAAACTCCAAGGAAAAATACAAACGGAAAGTTATTAATCAAATGGCAAAATCAAACGTTCAAACATATCAAATGAATGGAGAACAACTGTCATGTTCCTGACTTGGTACAGGCATTTCCTTATGTAGAAAATGGTGGATTAAACAAACCTGGTTTTATAGCTAGCTAAACTTATCACTTGTATGACAGTCGCATCTATGATTAGATTAGACTTTTTAGATAATCCCTTACTTAAATGTCTCGACTCCAGACTCTCGACATTTTTAAAAAAAATATTAAAAACATCATCTTCAAATATATATTTCCAGAATAAAAAAAAAAACAATCAAAAGTGTGAAGTGAGGATTTTGGAGGTCTGTTATAACAATCTCTACCTATTGCTCAATTGACAGGCGTTCCGAAAAAAATATTAAAGCGATAAATTCTCTCCAAACTAAATCCATATGAGGAATTTACAAGACATGATGTTGCGTAATCTGTAAAAAGTTTGAGAATTAAGTTTCTCTAATTTTCATGCTATTTTCACATTTCTCAATCGGTTTGAGAAAAATATTTCTCATCTCTAGAGAAAACTTTGTTCTAGGCAATTGGTTGGTCGAAATGCAATCATGACGTCAAATTTTCTTGATTTCTACTGAATGTCCTATTGTGACGTCATGAAAAAAGGCGACCATGCCTGATGACGTCACATATAAAGAATACAACTTTCTGCAAATCTTTGAAAAGGAAGGATAGACTTTCTTTAGATATCGCCCAAAAATCATTAGAGAAACAGATTCCACCACTTTATCTCGTGAATTACGATATTTCTCTACTCTCAACAGTTAAATTTTAAATATTCAAAAAGCCTCGCGTTCGAATTTTAAAATTTAACTGTTTCCAGTGGAGAAATATCGTAACACACTTGATGAAGTGGTGGAATCTATATATTTCTTGGAGTCGGCTGTTTGAGATCACAAGTAATATGCTGGTGAATTCATTAAGATTTTCAATTGACAATTTCACAATCTTCTATCATAAACTGATTGTTCCTGTAATTCAGACATTCATCTTAGAAAACATCTCCGTTTAGATGGTCACACTACAATATTTCAGATCTTGTGTTTCTTCTCATGAAGTCCTTGATAGAAGGTTGCTGCTTACAAGGAAGCTTTTGAACAAAAAAAAATCCTATTGGTAAAGTTTGTGTCATCCCTTCGAATTTTAAAGGAAGTAGTCATGATTTGGTTGACTGCTATTGAATATATGTGTCATAGATGACCACGAATATGTTTCCATTGTCGTAACCACAATCCCATTTTCTTCTTTTTAAACAAAAAAAAAGAGTGTACCTATAGGTAAGTTTGTCAATTGAAAAATCCAGTGAGTTTATAAACATTTGAATATGACTAGATAATACGCATGGTTGAGCACTCTTATCTTCTACTATAATTATTCATTTTCATGAGTTTGATCCTCACATGGCATAACTTTGAAGGAATTTGTTTTATATGAAGATACTTAGTTTATTTCATCTCAACTTAATTGGAATCTGATACTTCTGATTTAGTATATCAATTCCTTTATTGTTTTAAGTTTAGACTACTTTCTAATCTTTTTCCTGAATTTATTGTAAACATATATTAGGTAATATATGTATTTGTAAAAGTGATTGGGTCAGCATTTGCCAATTATATCTAACCAAATTCTATAAATTTGATCCAACAAATTCATAGACCTGAAGAATACAGTGAATGTCATATCTGATGAAACAAACAAAAATTTGGAAGAAAGCTTTATGTTAACTTTTCATAATTTATCACAATTATTTAGTGACTCAATAAATCTAACCTCAAATTATAATTAACCCAGGAAAAGACAGTGAAAAATTATTAAACATCATTGAATGCAATATATATAGAAATAGTTTCCAGCAATTATTTTGAATGTCCCTTATGGTCATAGCTCCTAACATTTCTGTGGTTTTTTTTTCACCCCAGGATATTAAAATGTCTACGTTTGAGCGTTCCTGGTGAAGGAAACCAGGGAGAAGTGTTTCTGACGCACGACATGTATAAAGTGTTATTCTTATTTATTGTTCTTTTATGCTCTTCATTTCAACATCAAATTATTTACATTTCTAGGAGTTTTCTTCTTCCTCCAACATCTTTTTCAGGTAAAAAAATTAAAGATTGTGTAAAGAGTATAGTAACTATTTTTCTAATTTTGATTAGACGAAAAGTGAAACATTAGACTCAACTTCAAAAGAAAACTTTTTTAAATTGAGTGTGTAATGGATATAATGTTTTACATTTGTAGAGCTTACTAAAATTCAATTCACTGACACCTGAAGTATGAGTATTAATGATATATTTTGTGTTGTTTTGAATTTAAGGTGATATTGAATACAGTCTGTTCTGTAAATGGTCAGGGATAAAGCAGTAACCATTTCATCTTTAGTAAAGATAATTTGTTTTTGCGGACAAACTAGTCTTGTGTCGACTTTATAAAAAAAACCATCTCTGTTTGCTCATAACATACAAGAACATGTATAATTAATTTCTCAAATCATTCTAAATTACTGTTTACACTATAGAAAGGCTGATGTAAATGGCAGAAAAGAAATTGACAAATCAAACTTACCTATTACAATTGAGGAACATGTATACAATTGATTTGCATGGTCGTCATTTTGACAGATAGACATTTCTTTATTAGTAATTATTTGGTGGAACTTGCAACATTTATCTTATATAAGTTACATGCTAAGCTGATTTAGGGTGATGTACACACTAAGTGTCTGCAGTGATAAGCTAATTGTACATGTATCAAGTCTGAGCTAAATTTTGTATATGTAGAATGAAATTGTCTTACCTTTTTTATTATTGAAGACCTTTTCAAAGTATCCTTTTTTAGCAAAGATCTTTTTCCTTTTTTTAAAGATAAATTAAAACAGTAAGCAGCAACCGTAGAATTTATGTAACTTAATGAGAGTCATTTTAACATTATCAATTTATACAACGAGTTTCAGTTGACTGCATTTTAGGTATGATGTTATTATTTGTTAATGATATTTAAACGGAAAATCTTTAGGTCCAATTTTGATGATCAATATCCATTACATTTCTTTCTTGTTGTGGCCTTTGGTTTCCATTTCAATATTTGGTAATGGTGATGCAGTTTGAGCAGCAAAATAAGATTTATTTTTCTGATTTTTTTTTCTGCATTTACAGTTATAATGGTTTAATGTTTAGATACCATACACTTATGTACATTCATCGTATTTAGTCTCAACCAATAATAGTAAATTGTCATGATGACTTTTTGCAATCATGAGAAAATCATATTCCTTTTTGATGTTTAGCAATTTTTTTCACAGACCTATGATATTGTCATCATTATTTATCAAGCATCGCCGTTCAATTTTTGTCCAATGGATACTAGTTCAACCTTTATCAAAATCAAATATAGTTTTGCACATGATAAAACGTATTTCATGTTCTTTTTGTAGTAAAAATAAATATTATACCTAGCGTTAAAACTATACATGTGCAAAATTTGCAGCTCGCTATGCTTAATTGTTATTTTTATTTCTTTTCTTTAATTTAACAAGATAAAGGCTTTTACACGTTACTAGGGGTTTTCTTTTTAAAAACAAAGATGCATTTTTCATACCCCTAAAGCAAACGATGGGCGTTGAAAAAAGCAACATATTGGGAAATCCTCAACACTAGAATCGATGTTTTACCTGTTTGTACTGGTATGAATGTCATGGTATTTCAATAATAGTTTGACAACTAAGGGTTCTAGCAGAGTAATGGCAAATGTCTGCACATATGACCAAATTTAAATGACTTAAGTTACCTCTGACATTTTGATCCCCCCCCCCCCTCGAAAATTAGATTAACAATCCGCCTTTGACTTCATAAGTTGAAGCCTGGCAAAACAAATAATTTGATCTAAAGTAAATCGATCATTTAAAAATTTATAATCGGCTACTGCTTTCTGTTAGTTCCTTTAATTTCTTCTAAATTCAGTTGAATACTGTTTAAATGTCGTATCGAAGTATTTATGAAATACCCTTTACCTTGGTTTCTTTTTTTTGCTGGCAAGTACATGTTTTCTGAAAAAGTTTAACGTTATATTTTGAAATGTTTGAAGTGAAAATTATTTGATACTGCGCATGCCCCGTAGATTTTCATGAATAGTATCATTAAATATATCATAATAATGTACCGTATCCAATTCTTATATGAGATGGCATTTGTTTAAATACTTATACATGTAGATTGTTATGCTTCGCATGATAAGCGTCGTAGAGTCATGCATCATTCAATTTAGTTAAACAAAATATCATATTTAAGCTTTCATTGAGACAATGTTTCACTAACTTGATTAAAACAAGTTTAAATTACATTTTCTGAAAAAGAGGAAAAAATGTTTGTGTTGTAGTAATATTTTATTTCAAATTTGTATTCAAATATGCAGTTGGAAATTACTAAGGACCAATACACTCATTCCATTGTTATTACAACATATATGAAACTAATAACTTGAAAGAGAGTTTCGTTTCAGTATAAACATTATGTACTAGATAAATATACATATAAAAAATTGCATTCAAAACTATCAGCGACAGTATACTTGTCACCTTTTTCTGATGGTTGTGGCCTGTCATCTATTTCTCGGATGAAGATATATTTCCCGAATCACACTGATATGAGTGTGATAAGAAAATTGATACAAACAATGAGTTAAACTTGATTGGCTTATCCATCATCATGAGACGATAATGCGACATTTCCATTGGCTATTCGTTAGGTCATCGATGAATTACAAAGTTTAAGACGATGAATATTTCGCCTAGGGCAACGGAGATATGTTATTTTTAATAATATAGAAAACATGTACACCTATACTTTTCATCTGCAAATCTTTTTTTTGTGTCAAATTTTATTGCATTCTGAACCGTACAACTGTTATTTTTAAATGTCTGATGATAAAAGAGGGGCGAAAGATACCAGAAGGACAGTCAAATTCATAGATCGAAAACAAACCGACAACGTTAAAAAATAAAAGGACAAACAGACAAATAATAGTACACAAGACACAACATAGAAAACTAAAGACTAGGCAACACGAACCCAACCAAAACTGGGGTTGATCTCAGGTGCTTCGGAAGGGTAAGCAGATCCTGCTCCACATGTGGCACCCGTCGTGTTGCTCATGTTATTACAAATCCGGTAAAGTTTGATGACGTCATACTGGTATGCCGGTGCAAAAGACTAAATCAACGATTCACGGAATTTTTAATTTAACACAATAATAAAAATAAAATAAAAAAAAAATAAATAAAATTAAAAAAAAATGTTTACCATAAGAGAAATGGGTTTAACAACTAATGATAATTGGATATCGCTTGATATCAACTCTCGTTATTTAATTTGAATAGTAATAGTAAACTCAGTCAAGACTCGTTTATTATCATATTGAAATTAAATAACTCGAGTTGATACCAAGCGATAAATTATTCTCACTCGTTATGAAACCTATAATTATCAACACACCTTTCAAATAAAAAAAACTAAGATAACTATTACCATCGGTAAGAGCAAGTCATTAAGACCTGGTATTAGTCAAAAGAAATAAAGTTTTTGATTTATTTTTCAAATTTGTACATAATGTGTACAAATGCATAAAATCAAGAAATTTAACAAGTCATAATGTTCACCGTTTTCAGGAAAATGAAGAAAACTGCAAACTTTGTGCATTTTTCCCTTGTCATTTCCTTTGTGGAAATATCGTGCAAAGACAAGAAAAATTAAAATAATGTATGTGAATTTCATTATAACTATTTACATAATCTCATCAAATATATGGTTGTTTTTTAGTTGCTCACATACTTTTACAATCTATTGTATACTTTAAAGCTGATGTAAAATAATGAAAATCAAGAAATTTTACAAAATATACAGATTTCGTCATGGTTTGCTGCCATTTTTATTGGTTAAATGTGAAATTTGTTTTTATTTTCTGAACACCTTGAATCTTAGTGTAGCTATGACAAATTTAAGATTATGTATTGTAACTTTTCAATTTGCTGGAATATTTGGACCAAATAAGGGCCTTATAGTCCCTACTCCTTTCATTCGTATGATTTATAAAAATCTGGATTATTTACCGAGAATATGCCATGTAAACATGTACTGCAGGTATCAATCAAATTATCTATCATGTGTTGTTTCGTTGGGTAAATGAGGTTTAGCCATTAAATGTAAACAAAACACAATAATAAATCCGTCTAAAGAGAGACACAGTCAGTCAACATAGAAAAACAAATTAATCACTTCACAAAATATTTAATCTCCAAAGCGATAGTCAAAATATTAAATATTATAAAAAAAAAAAGTACCGAACTCCAATGATTTCTCGATAAAAATGATACCATTTGCTACAATGTTTTTGTTTTTGGATATCATTCTGCATATTTGATAAAAATGAGCCCGAAAATAAAACATGCGGCACCGAAGTACAAGTGATCAGTATGCTGGAGCTTGTCGTTGACAACATATTTGTTAAATGTGGAGGTAGAATTTTTCATCATGTTATCGGCATTCCTCTGCCTCATTTTAGGCCTTTACCTCGATTTTGACAACAACGGTCATCTCAGTATTGAATCTTTGACACGATTTTTGTTTTGAAATCATAATTTTTTTCTCACCTTAGCAGCAATATACCAACTTCCCCCGCGTATGTAGTATACGTTTAGTCATTTTTCTCTAAATGTTCATCGGAATGTACCAACACGCAATAGATAAATATTCAGCGTCTACTTCAGAAATGATATAAGATGGTCTTGAGTTATAGATTCTAGGTGCTGAAGTTGTGCATCTTTTTATATATTTCAAAGTTTTCCCTTTATTTGTCTTCGTGCTATTATTTTTCTTTTGGTCGTCTGACTTTGACGAAACTCAATATTTATGAATCCTGCTATCTGGTTTTTTACTTTGAGCGTTCCTGTTGAAGGTGGGTCCTGAGGTGCGATTCGAACGCGCAAGTTTTGTATAGTGTTGTTTCATTTTGTTATTCCTTGTATTTATATTTACTTAATTTTTTTTTCTTTATTGAGAAAGTTTATACTATCTAATGTATGTTCTATCAACTACAAAACTTTTTTTCGGCGTCTTCGTTACTTCACTATCAACTACAAAAACTTTTTTGTTGTCGTCTTTGTCAAATTTACTATCAACTACAACAACCTTTTTTGTTAGCGTCTTAGTTAGATTTATTTGAATGTGTTTAGTAAGTTGTGTTGTATGTCTGGAATACATATCTACACTGTTTTTGGCTGCTGGATTCCAATTATTGTCACATTAACCTATTATGTCTGTTTCGGTTGCTGACATTTTGGTTTTTTTTTTAAATATAACGGAACGTTAACATGTATATACAACTTTCATACAGGTTGGAAGTTTAGCTAGCTATAAAACCAGGTTTAAACTTACATTATCATCACTAAGTCAGAAATATGACAGTCGTTTATCACTCGTTCGGTTGGATAATAACGTTGGATTTTGTCAGTTTTTATGGCCTTCCCCCCTTTTTTTAATGGGGTATGGTGGTGAAAAGGCTGAATAAATCGAAGGTTTTGATGGAATTTATTTCAGAGAACGACCGAGATATACATTTTTCCAGACGTTTTTAAAATCCACTTAATGGTAACGCCACTACTCGAATAAACAGTGTCACGGTATTTCTGCAATCCCTCTCTCACTGCGGTCAATCTACCGGACATTTCCTTTTTAGAACATGTACATGTAGATGAGCCGGCAATGTACCGTTGTTTGTACGAAGCTTTGTGAAGATTAGATATCCTATACAAACAAGGTAAGTCCTCAAATATGCAAAGAGGCCATGAAGGACTTGTGGTTTCCCAAAATCTCATCAAAGGTTACCTTTATGTACGTAGTATTACTCAAAAGTTTATTTATTCCGAATTCTTTGATAAGAAACTCG